AAAAAGCTGAATTTTTAAAAAAGAATGCCATTAATGCACAAGATATTCTTAACACATTAAGTGATAGAAAACCATATGTTGTCATTTTTCTGTTGGATTGCTGTAGACAATATTTCTTAAGAAACACTGATCTAAATAGAGGTGCTTTAAACGCAAACGAATATCAATCAGTTGGACTGACAGCGATGCATAAAGCAGGCTCTTTGGTTGCTTTTGCTTGTGCGCCTGGTGCATTAGTCGACGATAAACCTGAAGAAAAAAACAGTTTATTTATGAAACATCTTTTGAAACATCTTCCAACTCCGAATGAAGACATTGTAAATACACTGCGAAATGTGACTCGTGGAGTGATGCAGGATTCTAATTCAAAACAGATTCCATTTATGAGTGTTCAATTATGTCACAACAATATATACATGTACGAGCAAACTGACGGTAAGAATAATAGTTTTCGATGGAGTGAAACAAGAGTTACTATAAGACGTATGTCATCGGCACAATGTATGCACATTCAGTGAAAATTCATCTAAGCTACCATAGGTCATGCTAGAATTGAACTTAGCTGCATTTTATTCTATTACACGCCTTCACACTTTACCGAAATAAAATTAATCGGTTCAGCGGAAAATCTCAGAAAGAATTAATACCACAAAGTGGTTCGTGTGATTGTGAGTGAGATTAAATATAAACTTATGACTTAACAACAAATATCCATATCATTACCCTGTCCAACACTGGAAGCATATTGAAAATATCAAGTAAATCTATCAAGAAATATATATTATTGTTTTGAATTAAAGACTTTTCAGCAGCGGCCATTGTTGGCACAACTAATCCAACACGAAAGATACGTTCAAACAACTCATCTCAAGTAATTTAAACTACTTATTAGTGTCGTACATTTTTTTCATCTGTACCATTTTGTTTTTTTAAAGATCGATACATCTTCAGCAGCTACTGGCACTGCTGGAAACACTAGAATAGACTCAGTTACCAAAAAGGTGAGAAAATTATCATTTTAGAAAGCAAGTCTTAATCAAATATAACATCTTTTCAGATATCACGCATTAAAATTAATACTTCTACAAACCAAAGTAAGGTTTCGTTATCATTATTTCGCTGCCTTGAGAATTATTGGAATAATATCACTATCATTGTGCAGACATGCTATTCTCATAACTAAAACTTTTAGATAATATAATCTCTTATCGAATTATTCTTCTTATTTTCCGATATGTTTGTCTAAGTAGAGTTATAAAATTGTTTAGAATCATATTTTACAATTTATAGACAGCAAGTTCATTTCCCTTGCTCCGATAAATTATCGTACATTTTTTATCTTTATTCATACCACGTAACAGATGATCGATATAAAAAGTGAAAAGATTCTGTTGTACAGGAACGTTTGCACACTTGTATGATTTCAATTAAAGAATTAATACAAGCTCAGAATCTGATTGAATATCAAGTGTGAACGAGAAATGAATCAGGATTTTTCAATTACTCCATCAGCATTCGGTATTAAATAAGTAGTTTAGTTTTATTCACTCTCTAGAATAGATTTGAGTAGTTAAGATGCTTTTTCAATCGACTGAAATACCATATGTATATTACTTGTTAGAAGTTGATGGCAAACGAAATTCTCCTCACTTTCACTAACTATAGAAACATGTAGTTTTTTTTTCATGTTGATTATATAGGAAAAAGATGATTCTAGCTAAGAAATTGGGAATGTCTTAAAGGTATATTAACAAAACAAGTTTTGCCACCGGTATGAGCGAATTTGAAGGGTGTAGTGTCAAAAACTAGGACAGATTATGTGTCTTGATAAAAAGAAAAAATGTTCTTGTGGTATACGCATAACTGCAGATAGCTTTTCCATGCTGACTACTATCAATCAAGTTCTGTTACGTGTTTAACTTTTAAATTCTGATATCAGTAACCACTTGTAAACCCATAGCAGGAAAACTCTCCTTCTCGATGCACTTAAAAAATAAAAATAAAAGATGAAAATAACTCGTAACTTTCCTATTCGATTAATTTTTTCTATTAATAATATATAACTTATAGTTCGCTACACCCATTGTTAAGTTGCACATCTTCCCCTAATTCTAAGAAATTCTACAAGTTCTCATCGGCCAATTAATTCTTTAGTGACATGACTTTCTCTACTTCAAGTCAAAAATTGATGTGCTAATCTGGAAAAGCATTCACAAAGATCTTGATTAGATATATAACTAGCTTTTTCAACTCTTTTTACAGTAGACAAAGAGTTCATTTAAAAACTGAATTTCAAATATGCTATCATGAGTCTATGATGTATTCTAATGATGTTAAGTTTTCAAATATTTTTTTCATTTTTTTTCTTAGAGATATGAGACAGAAAAGAGAACAAAAATGGTCATATCATTGAACTCAATCCGTAGTAAAATAAACAAAGCAAAATGATGACATTGACCGAGAAGTACTGACTCAATTAGTCTACCCTGTTTCTTTCAGACTAATTTATATAGTTTCCAAAAAAAAGGAGCTAGGCATCTATTTCGCTTTTATGTATAGTATTGAACGCATTTCTAATTTTAAAATACATATCTTTTCGTATATACAAAGTTTTGAAACAAGAGTACGACTAGATGGTCGTAAAGCTTTTATATTTGCCACTGAGTTAAAATCATATTGAAGTTGCAATAGGAAGATAACTTGAATTCACATTATCTGTGAGTCTTTTCAAGTTCATCGTTTATCATATTGAATCATTTGTTCTATGTTACATGACGATAGTTATATCATTGTAGAAAATATTTCCATTCGAACTAGTTTTTTTTCCGTTTTCGTGATCAATCATTTTTTGACAATCTTAACAAAAATATGTCCTTCTACAAATCTAGTGATTTACTATCATATATGACATTTCTCATCATTTTCATCGCTTCACAAATTAATAATGACATGTTTCGATGAACACTTTCAAATGTATGCATTCCACAAACTACCACAGAATAATATACAATACAGGAGGATTCACTTATTTTCTTCAGTTTTGTTGTATTTTTAAGGAACTTTAAAAGTTTTATATCATTTTATTGAGGATTGATTGCGCTCTATACTCTTAAAGTTGAGCAAAGTATTGAATGAAACTGTTTTACATCGAAGAAGAAGTAACTGCTGAAATTTTAGACACGTTTACACTAACTAGATTTTCAATACTATTCGCACAATCTCAAAATAGATTAAAATTAGATGAATCAATACAACAGTAACTGTTTCTTTGTTCAACTACATATTTATATGCTTATTAATTTTTTTCCTTGTAAACATACGATTCATTCACTCTACTTGTGTAACTATATAAAATCGTTAGTACATTAATCTTGAAGTTAGATTAGAAATATTAACATATAGATGCTTTACCACTTTCGAATTAAAATGATTGAATTGTAAGATTGCTTCCAATGATTTTCAATACTGTCATAAAACAAACTTCAAACAATCTCTTTTTTTCTTATGGTATCATATAAAACCTTTCTGATCTTGAGTGGAGAAAAATGAATCTTTCATTACTCTGTCGCACATTCTAACTAATGAAACGGACTGTTACTTGCATTTAGTAGATAAACAATCGTTCAACCGATATCGTTCTCTATATGCATATGTTAATGAGCTTGGTATAAGAATTTGTTCAAAAGAAACTTTTCTTTTCCTAAATCTTGAATACAGTGCGAGGGCGTGGGTGTGGACGTCCAGAACATCCACACCCACACCCTTGAAGTTAAAGCAAGTGTTCTTTCTAGCAGTGCTAGATGTTTTTCAGTTAGTGTTGCCAGAAGAAGATATATTTGATAATTCAATATCAACAATAGCTCAACACTAAAACTGATGAAGAAATAGTTTGCCAAAACTTTTCTGATCTATCATAATTTTCCTCAGAAAAATAAGCAAGAAAAGAAATTATTTGAATTAAATTTTCATTAGTAAATACTTCATTAATCATATCTATAAGTCTGATTCAAAAATAAGTAGTAAATATTGAGCATTTTTTTGCGTACATGTACAACATATTTGATCTAGAAACAAATTGATATTCGTGTGCTGTTACATTTCGATTTTATACTTCGGATTCCAACAGATGGACATCAAGAAAACTAAATATAGCACGTCACTTTTCTGTGTACCTTTTCTCTCTCGCTAGTATATAAGCTCACGATATATTGGAAGAAACAGGCAGTATTATAAGTCAGAGAGTAGTTAAAATTTGAGTTGTTCGAAGAAATAGTTAGACTTGGCTTGTATTGAGAAACATGCGCATATATTATTATCAGCGCAATATTGCTATATTGTTTTATTGTAAACACACTATTGAATAAATTATTACAAGTTGGTATTGTCCAAAACATTCTTTCATTAGTATTCTTGGTTGTATACTACTTACAAGAGTTTCGATTAATTATCTCACGATACACCCACACCCTCGTTCTTTGGATCATTTATTGACTATAGAAAAATAAGACAACTTTAAATTCTCTTTTAACTGCTTCAATGCGTTACTAGAAGGTTGAGTTTACATATACCATTTTCAGAATCAGAATTTATACTGTACTACTACGTGTTTGCGATTGAATCATCTGTATAAATTACATATAATATTTCATGAAATTATTTTATACTCTTTATTTAAATGAGAATTATTCCTCATTCCAATATATTTCTATTCATGATGTCCCATAGGCGTATCGCCCGTCGGGGCCAACCACTTTGTGGATTAGTTTCTTCCATAACCGTCGGTCTTGCGCTTGGTGGAACAGGTCTTGTCCGCTGCTTCCGCACCAGTCTTTGATGTCATCCAGCCATTTTTTACATTGTGTTTGATTAACCTATTATCGTTCATTCTACAGATATGGCCGAATAGTCTTAATTTTCTCTTCATAACTATGTCTATTATATCATATGTGTCCAGCTGATTCCTAGTACCCTTCGGTAGCATTTCATTTCGAATGCCAGTAGCTTTTTCTTGTCGGTTTCTTTCAGGGTCCATGTTTCCGAGGCGTATAGTAGCACACTGAAGACACACGTTGCTAGAATCCTTAATTTGTTTTTTATTGTTAGTTTCTTGCCATTCCATATATGTTTCAAGGATGCCATTGCTCCAGTTACTTTTCCTATTCTTCTTTTTTATCTCTTCTGAGCAGTTGTTATCCCACATTAATAGGCTTCCTAGATATTCGAATTTATCCACATTTTCTATAGTTTTTCCTCCTGTGTGTATGGCTGTTTTCATGAGTAGCCCTTCTTGTTATACAGCTATTCTCGTTGTCTCGATTTGTTTCTGTAAAGAACTGCAGTCTTCATCTATTAGATCAATGTCATCCGCAAATCTTAGGTTATTCACTCGTTTGAGATATGCGGTGAACAGTAGTGGTGACAGAGGATCACCTTGTCGGGTCCCTACATTTGTACTGAATCATTCTCCTTCGTTCTTCCCTAATCATCGTACTGCTGACTGGACTTTTTTGTATATCTT